CCCAGTAAATAACTTCTCAAATTTGATTGGATTTTCTATTATCTGGCTTGCCTTGAATATTTTTTCTCCTGGGAATTCAAGCCATCTTATTTGCCTTAAAATGAGCCTTGAAATTTAGTTTCCACATCAATGAGATGAAATGTTATTGCTTCTGTCTTTACTCATTCCTGCAAGTTTCTGTGCCTTATTCTTCATTCTTCACCATCTCACATACTTTTCATGATTTTTTTTTAGTCATAAAATCTGAGTTAAAAGGGACTAGAGACCACTGTCTTCACTTCTTACTGGGTGCAGGAACACCTTTCCAGCGTACTGTCCCTTAATCCTCTGTAAAGCTCAGAATCTCTTATTGCTAGGTTTACAAAATGCATATATATTTGATCTTGTGTGTTATGTATGTTTTTAAGTGTTTTAGCAATTCTGTTCCAGTGTTACAAGTTAAGGAAACATGAATTTTCCTTGATATTGTTAGCCTGTTGCACCATCAAAAGATCATAGACACAATGTCAATATCTAACCACGAACTCTCCACTTCTCTCTGCAACCTCCAGTGGAAAAGCATAGGCACCCTAGTAATTACCTCCAGATAAAAAATGCTAGGGATATTGTCTTTAAAGAAATGAGAACTTGGGGCTGGGAAGGTGGCTCAGTGGTAGAGTGCTTGCCTTGCATGCATGAGGCCCTGGGTTCAATTCCTCAGCACCACATAAGCAGAAAAAGCTGGAAGTGACGCTGTGGCTCAAGTGGTAGAGCACTCACCTTGAGCTGAACAGCTTAGGGACAGTGCCCAGGCCTATAGTTTGGCACCATGACTGGCAAAAAAAAAAGAAAAAAGAAATGAGAACTTGAAAGGACAAATGCGGCGTTGTTGTTCCTGGACACTATGCTGAAAATGAACTATACAATTTGTGGGTAGGAATGGGAGGGAAAAATTAGGAAGGAGCAAGAAAAGGAGTGACTATCAAATAGAAATGTACTTTTTACTTGATTTATGTAATGATAATCCCTTTTGTACATCACCTTTATAATAACAATAAAAATATTTAAAAAGGAAATGAGAATGGAAAGAAAACAGCAACTTCTACTAGGCAGTCACAGTGTTGTTCTAAAGCACAAAAGGGAGACTTCATAACCTGTACTTGATTATATAATAAATTAGTTATAGAGAGTTATATATATATATATATATATATATATATAATACACATAAGCATTTGTATTAAAATGGATAGTTTCAACTTCTAGCAACACACAATTTTGTAAAACTGTATAAATTACAGTGTTAGAAGTATTAGAAGTGTTAGAACACTTGAGAGCATTTGAGATAGTTGGAGAAAGATCTATCTTCTTTCAAAGATCTATCTTCAGTTTGGGGGAGATTGGCAATGAACAGAAACACATGCTTTGTCCTGAAACCCACAGAAGAAATGGCTTTTTTCTTCTGTTAGCCAACTATGGATAAACATTTGATTCTTTCTTAGTAAGACTCTACTGAGAAATATTCCTGAAAATATTTCTACTGAGAAATACTTCTAAAAACTGTTTATAGCCTACCCTTTGGGTAGGATAGTAAACCTCCATAGACAGAATCCTCAACTGTATAAATAATGAACTTAACCTACATTTTGTTAAGGGTTTAATGATTAAAACCTATCTTATTTTTTTCTAAGCAACGTTTACTTTCCAACCTGTCTACTAAACCATGCTAATCTATTCAATCTCATGCTGTGATTACATTAAATACAAACAGAAAGCTAATTTCCTGCCAGAACTTTTGCATAGTTTAATCGCCACAAAAGCTCTGTAGTTGACAAGTGAACATATACAGCCTCAGAGAATCAGATGAGGGCATGTCAGGCATGGTAGGTACACATGCTCAGGTATGAACAGTTAGTATATTGTGTCAGGAGGTGACGCTGAGCATGAAATGCTCTCCCATCTCATCCAGTTCATCTAATGCAGGGTTCTGACAAAGGTTTCTATCCAAATACAGTATATTCTGAGGCACTGAATGGCCTCTAAGTGGACACTGATTGGCTAAGTCTATTGCTTGTGTATCACCTCTTGTTCCTCCTAACCTCATTAATACCTGACACCAATCAACTCCTTTCTTATACTTTACACAAGAAGTTCTCTCCCCTTTTTAGTATTCAAATATTTTCTTCTTTTTTAAAGTCTGGTACTATGCCACTTTCCTAACTCAGTTCAACAGCATTGTGTACTTGGAAAACTGCCCTGACCTTCCGTGACCTCTTCTCTGCCTCCCTAAATGTGTGTGACACTACCAGGGTTTGTTTCTAGTGTCTTTCACTTCTTCTTCTTTTTTTTTTAACGGTATGGTAGAATTACATCCACAACCTACTAATTCAATACCACACAGAGACTTTTCAGAATGATGGGGAGTGTAAAGTGAAGTATATGAATAGTTAAGCCATAAATTAGTGTACATGCTTTATATCAGTACATATTTTTCAGATTATGAAAACATAGCTAGTACTTTGTGTTCATCCCAAGCTTATGTTGTATTCTTTTATATAGAGACAGTTTCCAACTGACAAGTGTTATTTCATGTTGAAAGAATGTATTTATTTAGTTAATCACTAAGGGTTTGAAAACACTTGTTTGTATAGTGTTTAGTTACCAGGTTGGCCCTGAATTTTTATTGTATCACAATGTAGCAGAAGATTGTTATAGTATTGTATAAACTTCACTGGTGAAATTATGATGTATACCAGTGTACTTGTGGGAAAACAGAGGGTGATGAGACAGGAACACAGCAGTCGAGTCTCCCCTTAGTCACACAGGTGAGCAAAGCTATTTGCTGCAGTACAGTTCTTTGTGATTGTAGGTGAAGGGACTGCTTTTGTAAAAACATTTATTTGTATTACAGTGTACAGAATTGAACATTATGCCCTAGAAAGAATGAGACAGATGTGTAATTAGGAAGTCTACTCTGGAAAATACATTGCAGAAAAATTAGCTGTTGCTATTGTGTATGTGAAAGAGCTGGTACATAGGTGTACTTATATTGGTAGTCTTTATGGAGGGATGTATAAGAGGCTGATGGTCTCCCAGGATAGATAGTCAAGGCTGCAAGGGAACTACTTTGTCTTACATTGACACTGATTGCATTTTGAAATTACACCACTATTAATATCACTTTTTTTTTGTGGTGGTGGTAATGATTGAACCTAGGGCCTTGCTCATGGCAAGCAAGTATTATACAAATGCCTCCTAATACCTTAATTACTTTTTGGGCCAGGCAACAGTGGCTTATGAATAGCTACTCAGGAAGCTGAAATCTGACAATCATAGTTCAAAGCCAGCCTAGGCAGGAAAGTCCATTAGACTCTAATCTCTAATTAACTATCAAAAAGCTGGAAGTAGAGCTGTGTCTCAAGTGGTAGAGAGCCCTGAGCTAAAAGTTCAGGGACAGTCCTTAGGCTCTTAGTTCCAGCCTGGGACCAGCACCAAAATACAAAAGTGTTGCATTTCCTTAGTATCTACTGATAGGCTCAAAAGTAGGATAACAGTGCTTTGATATTAGCTTCATGTGTACCTTATTTTGCTCCTCTCCTGAAGTGACTATGGAATTGATTTAAAAGTTGGAACAGTGGGCTGGGAAGGTGGCTCAGTGGTAGAGCGCTTGCCTTGCATGCATGAGGCCCTGGGTTCGATTCCTCAGCACCACATAAGGAAAAAGAAAAAAGCCGGAAGTGGCGCTGTAGCTCAAGTGGTAGAGCGCTAGCCTTGAGCTGAAGAGCTGAAGGACAGCGCCCAGGCCCAGAGTTCAGGCCCCACGACTGGACCCAAAAAAAAAAAGAAGTTGAAACAGTAGAAACAACTCTGCAGTCAGATCAGACCCCTGTCTATAGCCTATAAACTAGTAGGATTAATCAGCTTTTTTGATCCCTATTCTTCTCTAGGCTATGGGAATGAAAATATGCAGAACCCAGATGTATTGTAAGGATTAAATAAGAAAGTGAACCTAAATGAGTTAGCACAGTGGTGGACAAATTATAGGGCTTCAGTAAATAATGTTTGTATTTTAATTGGGTATCTAAGGAACTTGGTTTACCAAATGTTAAGATTCCTATTTTTCCAGCTATACCTCAGTTGGAACGATCACAACATTTCTGTTTCCTCTGGCATACTACAGGGAAACAGATTTTTGAGTGCTACTTTGGCCTTTAAGAGTATTATTTAAAGTGAAATAGCTTATTTTTCCCCTTTTTAATCTTATAAAGTCCTTCCTATGAAGTCTGTTTGTTTGCTTTTTGGTAAATTCTTTTGATTTATTCAATCTCAGTGTTCAGTGTAACAGTGATCAATGATATAACTACTTTTATCTCAATAATTAATATAATCATAGAAATCAGTAACTATTTTCCAGTGATTTTTAAAATATTTTTTAGAATTATCTTTAAGTAGTTGGACAAAGGAGTTGCCATTTAACATCATCCCTTTCATCATCTCTCCCCCCCACCTCCTTTTTTTTTTTTGCCAGCCTTGGGGCTTGAACTCAGGTCTGGGCCTGGGTGCTGTCCTGAGCTTCTTTTGCTCAAGGCTAGCAATCTACCACTTGATCCACTTCCAGCTTTTTCTGAGTTGTTTATTGGAGATAAGAGGCTCACAGACTTTCTTGCCTAGGCTGGCTTCAAACCACAATCCTCAGATCTCAGCCTCCTAAGTAGTTAAGATTTCAAGTGTGAGCCACCAACACCTGGCTTTTATCGGCTTTAAGTAAAAAGTATTATTTGCTTTCCTGCTTTTAAATAGGAGTTCCCAGTTTCTTAATTTGTGTGTTTGTATGTTGAATATTAACACATAAACTAATATATAATACAGTAAAAAAAGCCACAATTTTCCATGAGTACATAGTGTTAACTACAAGTCAAAAGTTAGTGATAATGACAATATTAGAACCTATATTAGTTAGATAGGCCTTATGGGTAGCATATCTGTTTTAAATGTGTTTTTTTCTCTTCCTATTCTTTCAGTTTCATATGATGTCAAAAACAGCTTGCATATCCCCTCAAGTGTCCGACTGTGATACACAGACAGTGAGTTTGCTTTTTTTAATTTACATAATTTATTTTTATTTAAATAGTTGTACAAGAGGGATGCTCATTGCTTTTGAAAAGCTGGCATATTGTCCTCTAAGTAAGTGCTTCTGTGACTTCAAAATAACTGGAGAACCTACAGACTTGTGGCAGAGAGTGGATTCATAGATACTTGAATGTAAATTAACTTTATTGTTGACTCAAGTATGAAATATCCATAATGTCCTTACATTATTTGATGTTGAATAATTCTTTTCTGTCTTTTTATTTGTTATTTTTTTGGTTCTTTGTGTTTGGTATAAAGCAGATAAAACTCTGAGGAGTGCTTCAACAGCATTTCTAGAAAGAATGGTACATTTTGTTTTTGTTTTGTTTTGGTTTTTTTTTGAGACCTGATGTTGCTTTGTAGCACAGGCTGGCCTTGAAGTTCAAACTTCTCCTGCCTCAGCTTCTGTATGTGTTGAATTTCATCTCTGTGCTGTTTTACCTGGCACTAGCATTGCATTTGCTGGGCACATTGCACAGAGTGGTGGAGGTGGAACTCCTGTGAATGTCAGAGTGTTGGAAGCCACTAGGAGCCTTGCCTGATACCTTTTTGCTGGGAGATTTGAGCTCAGGCTTTAAGGGTACGTCTCAGTGTGTCTGCACAGCAGGGATGGTAACTTATATTAAAAGTTATATTTTAAATTTTTTTTAAAAAAATTGTGCCTGTATTAGGGCTTGAATTCAGGACTTGGGTGCCATCCCTTAGCTATTTTTTTTGCTCAAAGCAGTCTTTTATCTCTTAAACCACAGCTCTAGTTCTAGCTTTTTGCTGGTTAATTGGAGGTAAGAGTCTCATGAAACTTTCTTTCTAAGGCTGGTTTTGAATCTTGATCTTCAGATCTTAGCCTCTCAAGTAGCTAGGATTACAGATGTGAGCCACCAGCACCTGGGAGAAAAAGGGAGAAGGGATATATTTTAATTTGATAAAGGAAGTATGTTATTAATTTTATTAAAACAAAATTATAGTGCAAACATAATACAGTTACTCTGACAAATTTTGGTTAATTCATGCTCCAATAACTGTAGTCTCTCTTATTTTCCCTCTTTTCTAAACAAACCAAGGAATTACTTATCATTTGCTTTCTCACCCATTGCTTTGTCTAAATGACTGTCAGTCCCCAGTTGTCGTCAGTGACTTCTCCATAGACTGGCTGTTACTTGGTCTCATTTCTTCCAAACTCTCCTCTGAATAAAATCTTGGGAGACTTCATTTTTAAATGCTACTTTTGTTTCTGTGACATTAAAATCATGTAGTTTTAGACCAGAAAGGATTTTAGAGACTGTTTATTTGTTTGTTCAGTGTATTTATTTTTATTATCTTTAAACTTAGAGGTCATTTAGCTTAACTTTTATGTAATAAACATTTGCTTATCAGATTAAAAATTCCAGCAAATATTTTAATCTTAAACATGCTAATGAGAAGCCTAATGCTTTTTCATTCCCCTTTTCTTTTTTTTGGGGGGGGGCGTCCTGAACTCTGGGCTTGGGTGCTGTCCCTCAGCTCTTCAGCTCAAGGCTAGCACTCTACCACTTTGAACCACAATGCCACTTCCAGCTTTTTTTCTTTTTGCTTATGTGGTGCTATGGAATCAAACCCAGGGCCTCATGCCACTTCCAGCTTTTTTTCTTTTTGCTTATGTGGTGCTATGGAATCAAACCCAGGGCCTCATGCATACCACTGAGCTACCTTCCCAGCCCCTTTTTCATTCTCTTTAAAACATTTTTTCTTGTGTGTTGTTTTAGAAATCAACTAAAATATCTTGCACCTATGATAAGTATGTACTCTACCAATGAACTACACCCCAGCCCTTTGTAAAAAGCTAGCGACAATAGCATGCTTATCTGAGAGTGAGTCAAAGGATACTGAAGAGAATATAACATACTAGTTTCCTGATGGTGGGTACATGGCCCATTTTTATGCATTTAGTAGTTTAAATAGAAGCTATTTACTGGCTCCCACTTCTGCAGTTAAGAAACCTGAGCACCACTCAGTTGGCTTCTCTTCTTGGGCTGTCACTATTCAGGTGTCAGCTGAGTGGTCTCTCTGGCAGATATTCTCCTACATTCTTTTGTGTTATTGGAAGATTCAGTCTTTTGTCTGGGAGCTATCATTACCTTCTATAGACCATTTTTCCCTTCTTGCCACATGTCCCTTTCATTCTAAACCAGCTAGGGAGAACTTCTTGCCAGTCAACTTTTTCATGCTTCAGATATTTTTGGTGAGAAAATGCCCAGACTCTGTTATTAAGGTCTCACCTCACTAGGTTAGGCCTACCAAGAATAATTTCCCTTTATAAGGTTATCTGAGTTGTATAAAATAAGTCAAAGAGTTTGTGTGTGTGTGTGTGTGTGTGTGTGTGTGTGTGTGTGTGTATACGTGCATCTGAAGCTCAGTTTGGAGGGCTGTCTCATAATTCTGCTCACTTCATACAGTAAAAAACAATTATTTCTCATATATTCTTCAAGTCCATTCTACTGTTTTAACTCTGAGACATGTTCTCTCATATTTGACTGTATAGAAGAATAGATGCAAATGTAAAAAATCATATAACTGGGGCATGGGCCAAATGGTAGAATGCTACCTGGGTGCCTTTAATCCCAGCTACTCTGAAGATGGAGGTCAGAGGACTGTGGTTTAAGATCAACCTGGGGAAAAATGTGTGAGACACTCCATGTAAAGAGAAAAAGTCAAGCATGGTGGTACATGTCTCACTCAACTATAGTCGGAAGCACCAATAGGAAGATCATGTTCCATGCCAGCTCAGGCGAAAAAAATGACCTTATTTGAAAAAATAACAAAAAAGAGGACCAGAGGTTTAGCTAAGGTGGTAGAATTTAGCAAGTGTGAAACCCTCTGTTTATATTCCAATACAGACAAAAATCACAGTAAATCATGGTTTGGATACATACTTGTGAAATTAATCTTGTTTCATGGCATATATCACTAGGTTTTATCATACAAATGTATGGCAAGTTGCTTATTCACTACAGTTTTTATGGTTTTTCTTTTTCAAACTAGAGTTTTTTTTGCTTCCTCCAATTGCAGTATTTTTTTTATTGTGAGGTAGAAGTTGTAGAAACATTAGATAAATTAGATTCTGTTTACTTCTGCCAGAGAGGGTGTGTGTGTGTGTGTGTGTGTGTGTGTGTGTGTGTGTGTGTGTGTGTGTGTGTGTGTGTGTGTGTGTGTGTGTGTGTGTTGTCAATTGTGGGGCTTGAACTCTGGGCCTGGGCACTGTCCCTCAGCTCTTCAGCTCAAGGCGAGCCACACAGCCACTTCTGTTTTTCCGGTGGTTTATTGGAGATAAGAGTCTCAAGAACTTTCCTGCCCGGACTGGCTTTGAACCTCAATCCTCAGATCTCAGCCTCATGAGTAGCTAGGATTATAGACATGAGCCCCCAGTGCCTGGCTTGCCAAAGAGTTTTGAGCCTTGTTCTAACAGATAAATTGATGTCAGATCATTGTCATAGGTTTCGACAGGTCTATTTCAGTTGTGCCTTCAGTACTAGAGTGCACTTCTGATTCCTGGGGATTTGGTCCTTACTCCAAAAATGAGAGTCATCTAGGGTTGTAGTAGAGATCCTGAGCATTTTTCAGCCCTTTTAATTGAAAAACTTAAAATTCAAGCTCTGAGCTGGGTGCCAGTGGCTCATGCCCCAGTAATCCTTAGCTGCTCAGGAGGCTGAGATTTGAGGATCATGGTTCAAAGCCAGCCTGGGCAGGAAAAGCTGTGAAACTCTTTATCTCCAATAAACTGCCAGAAAACTGGAAGTGATGCTGTGGCTGAAGTGGTAGAGTGATTGCGTTGAGCTGAAAAGCTGAGGGATAGTGCTCAGGCCCAGAGTTCAAGTCCCATGACCGATGAAAATAAAAATAAAAAATAAAGATAAATAAATTAAATTAAAAAAATTCAAGCTCTGCCCAACTCCCATGATGATGCTCTTGAAACATGCTCAGCTCTTCCTGTTGACCTCTAGCTGGGATCTTTGTACTCTTTCTATACATAGGTAATTTCACTGGGTTTGAGGGTAGTGTGTTTATTGAATTTGGATTCCTTCCATTCTAGGATTCATCTACTTGGTTTTCTTGCTTTATTCCCCAAATGACTTAATTAATCCAGTAAGACTGTTAGTTTCTCCCTGATCTCCATCTTCTCTGTGTCATAGTGACTGGAGTTTCCATCAGGGGAATGAATGTACATCTCATGAAATAGATTAGTCTCTTGAGTTTGATTGTTTTTTCCTTCCTCAATGTCTGCGTGCCTTTTCCTGCACTTGAAACTTAAAAGGATTGCTGATATTGTCATAGTAGGGCTGAAGGATTGATATGTTTCTTTAGCATGACTAGAAGGTGGAACTGCAGTACCTCTTTTCATATAATATTTAAATGTATGATTTTCCTTGTTATTAAAAATTGGTCTAGGTAGAGTGCTATCCCTGAGTACAGAGAGGCTCAGGGACAGAGCCCAGACCTTGACTTCAAACCCCAGGACCAGCCAAAAAAGAAGAAGAAGAAGAAAAAAAAAGGTCTATGACATATTTAATGACTTTCTAAAAAACTCTTGATTTCCTGAGTGAATATGCCATAGTTTACATGGTTTTAGAAAGGTATCTGGTTTTAATGTTACAAATCATAATTTTATAAATTATATTATACTTTATTATATGAAAAGAATAAGAAATGTATAGTTTGAAGGTCTGCACCTATTTTGAAGTTCTGGACCCTCAATTTTTTTTTTTTTTGCAAATTAATATAATCACTTGTATCTTAGTTGAGGTATAAAGACCATAAGATTTTTTTGTCCCTTTGATAAATTGTATTTATCCATTCAAGTGTTACCATATTCTATTTCAGCCAAAGTTATTTTAATTATTACTATTGTATTTGTTTTACTTCAGAAAAAAGAAAATATCCGTTCCTTGACTATGTGTGGGCATGTTGGTTTTGAGAGTTTACCCGACCAGCTGGTTGACAGATCCATTCAGCAAGGCTTCTGTTTTAATATTCTCTGTGTGGGTAAGTAGCACTAACTCTTCTGAGCTCTTCCTTCATGTTCTTTGTGCTCACTTCAATTAGCAGTTTTAGGTCATGATCCCAGAAATTTTCTCAATTGCTTAAATCTTATTTATTTCTTTTTCTATCTAAACATTTTAACATTTTAGTGCTCTCTTGAGAGTTCTGTGTAGCTTAGAATATATACTCATTTCTCAACTCTGATAGTGACATAGGACCCTTGAAACAAGTCTAGGAGTTCACAGTTATATTTCTCTCAGCCATCCTCTGTATCTGTCCTTTTATATCTTTTAGGAGAAACTGGAATCGGAAAATCGACATTGATTAACACATTGTTTAATACCAGTTTCGAAGAACACGAATCCTCCCATTTTTGTCCAAATGTTAGACTTAAAGCCCAAACATACGAACTTCAGGAAAGTAATGTTCGATTGAAATTGACTGTTGTGTATACAGTAGGATTTGGTGACCAAATAAATAAAGAAGAGAGGTATGTGCTTTCTCCTTGCAGTAAAACAAGTTTTCTTATTTAAGAATCAAGCCATTTTCCTTCTTGCCCTTTGAGCTATGATTTGAGTTTCCTCTCTGGTAATCCATACCTTTCCTCCTCCCAAACACTTATGGCTCACAGTCAGTCAATAGTTGGCTGGTTCCTTTGCTTTGAATCTGAGGGAGGGAAGAACATCATGACAGAGAGGGAATAATGGAACAGGACTTTTCACCTCATGGTAGTGGAGAGGGAAAAAGATCAGAAAGGCAAGTAATATTTTTTTCTTATTAACAAATTGATGATTTCCTTTTTCTGTTCTGTTGTCTTATTTCTTTAGAATAGTTTTATTTTTTAGACAGGACTTCTCTTACTGAGGAAAACAAAATGTAATCTGTATAATGATATTTTATATATAATAGCCAAGTATTTGGTACATGTTTTTAAAATTATTATCTTTAAGTAGTTGTACAATATTATTTTCTTTAAGTAGTTGTAAATGGAGTTGTTATTTAACAGAGCAGTTCATGAATACAATATATCTTGATCAGTGCATGGAAAGGACATAGGCAAGAAGCTAAAAAGACAACCTACTGAATGGGAGATTTTTTTTCCAGGTAGACATCAGACACTGGCCTAATATCCAGAATTTATAGAGAACTTAAAATACTAAACCCTCAAAACACCAACAACTCAGATTATAAATGGGCTAATGAGCTAAAGAGTCTTCTCAGAAGAAGTAAAAATGGCCAGCAGATCCATGAAGAAATGCTCAACATTTCTTGCCATAAAGAAAACACAAAACAATATTGAGCTTTCATCTTATCCCAGTTAGAATGACTATTATCAAGAAAACAAACAGCAGATGATGGTGAAGATGTGAACAAGGGAACCCTAATGTATTGTTGGTGCATGTTGTATTTGTTTTTTGTTTGTTTTTAAAAATAACTAGTTACATTATCAAGCAGTACAGGAAAGTTTTTGATAGTGAAATTTTAGTTTGCATTTTATGCCATTATTTCTTGTCTATATTTTTTCCTATGATATAAAGATTATCAATTTAAATAGATAAACAATACATTTTAATATCTTCCCTTTTAAAATGCTTGTATTTTTGTTACCATAAGTAATTTCCCAGAGGGAACCATTTTGTACAAATTGACTACTCTGTGATACAAGTTAGAGCACAGCCTTTCAAGCACTACTCTTAAATATAAAAATGTCAGTCATGTACACCTTTTTTTAAAAAAATCTATTGATTTTTTTAAATTTAATTTTACTGTCAAGGTGTTGTACGGAAGGGTTACCGTTACATACGTAAGGTAGTGAGTACATTTCTTATTAAACATTGTTACCCCCCTCCCTCATTCTTCTTTCACTATCTCTTCTCCCTCCAAGTTGTAAAGTTCTTTTCCAATATGTTGTCTTGTGAGTATTGCTGTTGCATTGGTTTGCCTTTGTCTTTGTCTCACCATTTTGTTCCCCTTCCCTTCCTTAATTCAGATAAATGTATATACAATACATAGAGACCAAAATCAAATACAGTAACAATAAGGGATAAACCATAAGGGGCAAAAAAAGAAAAATGCAAGAAAAAAGAAATAACTTCACATAGTACATTAAAAACAACAACAACAAAGAAAAGTCTCTTGTTTCCATATCTTAGAGTTCATTTCACTTAGCATCACCTTTTGTGGTCATATGTACATTACCTATTGTGATCCTGTAGACCTTGACCAAAGCTTTTTGAGTTCTTTTTTTTTCTTCCCTCCTTTCCTCCTTCCCTCTCTCCCTTCTTTTCTTCCTTCCTAAGCTTTATTGACAGAGAAAATTTATAATAAATTTTACTGATTTTAAGTACAAATGTCAAATACATCATGCTTTAAATGTTATTCATAATTATAAGAAGACTATCATCTTAGAGAAAAATCAGTGTTTAAATCAAAGTATTTTTAAGTAACTTGGACATAGGACCAATATTTGTAATCTGCCAAGTAATTTGCATTGTATTATGTACCAAGACTCACAAAATAGATAGAATTTTCTATTATGGTAACATGGATATGTTATGTTAAATACTTTACATAATTGTATTTTTCAGCTACCAACCAATAGTTGACTACATAGATGGTCAGTTTGATGCATATCTCCAAGAAGAACTGAAGATCAAGCGTTCTCTCTTCAGCTACCATGATTCTCGTATCCATGTGTGTCTCTACTTCATTGCTCCCACAGGCCACTCTCTGAGGACACTGGACCTCTTGACCATGAAGAGCCTAGATAGCAAGGTGGATTTAGAAATTAGCCAACTTAAGCAGCTTTACTATGTTTTTGAACTATTAAACTATCTCTATGTTAGATATATGTATAATAGCTTTTATTATTTCCATCTTTAAAACATTTGATAAGTTTATTTTCTATGGAAACTCAGTTTGGAAGACAAGATATAGAGATAGAACATTATAGTTTTAGTTCCTTTTGAAGTGATTGAATTGCATGTTAGAACATGAGCAGTCTCTTTAATATGGAATTCACTTCACACTGCTTTTACATTCTGACACTGTTAAATGAGAAGAATAACTTCATTGACAAAGATTAAAGTGTTAATGTTTTATCACAGATTACAGTAACACGTTTTAATTTAGACAATATAAAAATTATTTTATTTTTATAGAGCTTAGGATCAAACTCAGAGCCTTGCATTTGCTAGGCAAGAGCACTTCTGCCAGCTAAATCTCCAACCCTCATTTTTAATTTTTTTTTTTTGGGGTCCGGTCGTGGGGCCTGAACTCTGGGTCTGGGCGCTGTCCCTCAGCTCTTCAGCTCAAGGCTAGCACTCTACTATTTGAGCCACAGCACCACTTCCGGCTTTTTTCTTTTTGCTTATATGGTGCTGAGGAATCGAACCCAGGGCCTCAGGCATGCAAGGCAAGCACTCTACCACTGAGCCAACTTCCCAGCCCCCTCATTTTTAATTTTTGAGGTTAAAAAGATATGTGTAAATTTAGGGTCAGTCATTTTAATAACTTAGTCTGTTTGTGTAGCATTTTATGTGTTTAAGAAATATAGAACTAAGACTATAACTTTTTTTTTTTGGTCCGGTTGTGGGGCCTGAACTCTGGGCCTGGCGCTGTCCCTCAGCTCTTCAGTTCAAGGCTAGTGCTCTACCACTTGAGCCACAGCGCCACTTCCGACTTTTTTTTTTCTGCTGAGGAATCGAACCCAGGGCCTCATGCATGCAAGGCAAGTGCTCTACCACTGAGCCACCTTCCCAGCCTGAGTATAACTTTTTATTAGCTGGAGGGAAGTAACAGTGCAATGTGTATAAAGATTGTAAATTTGATGTCAGTGGGGACTAGTTTCAAATACTGGCTTTGCTACTTATTAACTATTTAATATTGGACATGTGCCTTTAGCTATCTGAGCCTCAGTTTCTTTTCCTTATTATGTAAACTAGGGAGAAGACCTACATCAAGGTAGAGATCTGAAAATTAATTATATTAATCATTTAAATAGAGGACTTAATGAATAGATATTCCCAATAAGAATTAGCTGTTACATTACTTTGAGAGGTTGAGATAATGGTGTATTAATCCTTTATTATATTATGCATGTGGTATACAAAATTAGGCTTGCATTCATCTTTCCCTCTTCAACAGCTAGAGTATAGCTATATATCATAGAACAGATGTTGTTTTAGTAGTGTATAAATATGTATCATGATTTTTTTCCCAGCTTTTATAGTTGAAAGTATTTTTTATTTTTTATGATAAATTGTAAACTACTCTGTAAGTGTTATTCTCTATAAGAAGATTGTGTCAGAGTTAGTTGGGGCCCTACCAAGCTCAATATTTCTATCATATTATAAAATAGGTAGTAGAAGCCTGGATGTAGTGACCAGTGCCTATAATCCCAGCCATATGGGAGGCTGATATGGGAGGATCACTTGAGACTAGGAGTTTGAGGCCAGCCTAAGCAACTGAACAAGATCCTATCAAAAAGTCCCAAGAATATTAATATTTCACTTGAGAAAAGTAAAAATAATAACATTGGCACTGGGTGTTTAGCTTAGTAATAGAGCACAAGCCTAGGTTGGGTTTTATACCTAGTACTGAGAAGATTGAAATAAGACAGTGCCAGACAGGAGGTATATCTCAAGTGGTAGAATACCAGCCATGAACAAGCAAGCTGAGTAAGGGCTACAAGGCCTGATGAGTTGAAGCCATAGTATCAGCATAAAATAGAGAATGTTTGATAACTGCCTTATTCAACTTCAGCCATAACTAGTAGGTTCCAGTGTTGTTTTTTTAATAAAATGGAGCTAGTGAGATAACTCTTAAGATTGAATCTTCTATGAAGGCTACCTGAGACAAATTAAAACACATTTAGCTCAATGCATGCACATAGAAACACGTTTACTAATAATTCCATTACTTTAAAATTGTTTTTATTAATAAATATAGTCTTATACTATTCACATTGGGTATTGGAAGTACTGGCAAACCCAGCCACTGTTAGCCTTCAAAAGAGTTTGAATGTTAGCCAAAAACATTTCATACTTATATGTTCCCTCCGTGGTTTTTCAGGATTAAACAGAGGAAACAATTAGCACTTGTTGAACAATCCTGGTTTCTAACTGCTACAAGAAGTAGTCCTAGATGCATATTATACACAGAGACATAAAGTATTACCCAATATTACCTTTTTTTTTTTTTTTTGGTCAGTCATGGGGCTTGAACTCTGGTACTGGGCACTGTCTCTGAGCTCTTCAGCTTAATGCAAGTGCTCTACCACTTCAGCCATGGCACCACTTCCAATTTTCTGGTGGTTAATTGGAGATAACAGTCTCATGGACTTTCCTTCCTGAGGCTGGCTTTGAACCACGATCCTGAAATCTCAGCCTCTTGAGTAGCCAGTGTTATAGTCGTGAGCCACCTAGCTACAATATTATCTTTTGAACAGTATCATTTCATTCAAACCAAAATGAAATTTTTCTTGTTATTGGCATTATATACTAATTTAAAGATGTGGCTACTTTCTTCTTTTTTACACATTAACAAATTCTAAATTTTGGATAAATTTTTAATAAAATATTCTGTCTTTAGTTGTTATACAAACCAATCAGAGTGCTATAACAAGTTTATAGAGATAACTGTCTTGTTTCATTTACTTGACTTTGCACTTAATATAAATGGATAACAGTATAATGGATAACCACAAGCCACCTGGCAGGCCTAGGGAAATCCTGGTTTACATAAGAACTCTATATAAAAATAGGAGGTGGCAATGCTGGCTTCTTTCAGTTCCCCCAAGACTCCTCTGGTAATTCTCCTTTGTTCCTAAAAGCTAAAGATGTGACAGGCAAAGTTATTTGGCCTAAACTGAGTAGTGACAAGTAGCCATCCTTGATAACATCTGATATTTTCCCCCTTTTGAAAAGCATGTAAGCATTGATATTTGGCACTTAATCCATGTCCTCAGTTTATTATAGATACAATTGTAGGTTATAAATTTGGTATAATTTATTGATTGCGTATAGAATATTGAAATCAAAAGACTTAGCATCAGAATTTTTATGGACCTTTATAACATTACTGTGAAACCTGTTGTTGGAACATTTTCTCCCAGTTAAGTTCACAGATAGTTGGAGAAATGTTTATCTCCTTTGATTCTATGGAAAGCTAATCAATCCAGATAGACACATTGAATCAATATGAAATTAGAAGAAAAAAGTAAGGCTGGGAATTTTAACTTAAATTTTTACTTTTATTCTGAAAATTCCACTGTGGTCTCATTCTTGACACATATCTGGTTAACCTTTTTTTTAAATTAAAAGCAAACATTAAAACAATAAAACAAAATCTAGGTTTGTGGAAACATCAGTCTTTTGTGGGTACATTAATCTCTTACAGGACCAAATTTACAAGTCATGAACATGACCCCACATCTCTTCTTCTCTAGCAGTGATAGCATTTGAATAATGCTGAGGAATTGTTCCTTTGCATCCTAAAGGCTTTTAGTAATAGTGGCACTGTTTCCTTCCTGGGCCATCTAGGCAGGAATCTCTAATGACAAAGATGCTGCTGAGATAGAGGCAAGGCTTAAATGAGAGGCAGAAAGAGAAATGTCATCTGTTTGTTTTCCTGACAGATGAATCACCTAATTACTTGAAACTTAGATTATTAAAAATACAATTAAACAGGTGATTTGGGCTTACTGTTTATGACATTTTACTTATTTTGTGTGCAGTGGAATTCATTGGAGAAAACATGAGGTTTCTAAGCCTAAATCCAATTTTACATGATCTCTGCTTTTTAAAAATAATTATTATAAAGCCAGCATCTATAGGAATGGTTGTGCAAGGTGTGTGTGTGTGTGTGTGTGTGTGTGTGTGTGTGTATGTGTGATTATCTTGATCAGAAGTCTGCATACTTTTTCTGTGAAGGGCCAGGTAGAAGTTTAGGCTTCAAAGTTACTTACCTAAGACGTTTAAATGAGAAAGCAACCTAAATGAATGCACATAATTTTTTTTCAGCAGGTATTTATTTATAAAAGCAGGCAATAAGCTGGGCCACAGTTTGCCAATCTTTGATATTAGATAAGGAAACTTATTATTGGAGATTGATTTTAGTTTATGGAAAAATCAATTATTGTAGGACTGAAAATCCTCAATGATAAGATAGTGATTTCCTTTCTTCTTAATAGGTGAACATTATTCCACTGATTGCCAAGGCAGATACAATTTCTAAAACTGAATTACAGAAGTTTAAGGTCAAGCTCATGAGTGAATTGGTGTGCAATGGCGTCCAAATATACCAGTTCCCAACAGATGATGAAACTACTGCTAAGATCAATGCTTCAATGAATGTGAGCCCCCCTGCCTCCCCCACCCCAATGAACATAAGTCTGCTTCACTGGTAAAATTAACCTAAGATTTGATTAGCATTGTGCTACAATATGCTTTCTTATCTGAGGTTTTGCTTCCTGAGGTTTGAGTTACCAGTAGCCAACTGTAGACTGAAAATACTAAATGAGAGATACAGAAATAATAACTTTAAAAATGTATGTCATGGGGCTGGGAAGGTGGCTCAGTGGTAGAGCACTTGCCTTGCATGCCTGAGGCCCTGGGTTCGATTCCTCAGCACCACATAAGCAAAAAGAA